TCATGTGTGGGGGTAAGAATTGGAAACAGAGCATGCTAACACACACAAGTAAGAATAATGCCTGTTCCAATTTTTAGCATTACTGAAGGTTATTCAGTCTGCTTGCTCATCCTGTCACAGGTGTGGACACTGTCAACGTCTGCAGCCAACATGGAATGATCTGGCAGACAAATACAACAGCATGGAAACTCCACAAGTCTATGTTGTTAAAGTAGACTGTACTAAAGATACTCCCGTGTGCTCTGAATTTGATGTCCGAGGATACCCCACGTGAGTGCAAAAGGATGTGTGCTTATTATTTTTGTTTTATGTATTTCCACAGGCCTCTGCCAATTTGCAGTTATGCTTTTAGGTGGTTTCCTTTGGAACACTTCAGATTCTGGGTGCTAAATTTAAGTTTTTTCACCATGCTGCCAAACAAGATGAAATACGGTGTTCTTTTTTTGGAGACCGTCTTATATCTTGCAAGATGGCTGTGATTAAACAAAGTCTAAAATTGGCTTGCTTTCTTCTGTAAGAGAACATCTTTCAGGCAGTAACTCAGTATAAAAGAGTGAGGTAATAGTCTACGGTTTTCTTGACTATTTAAAAATGTATCAATTATTTAACTGTGTGGGGCATAATGCGTACAGACTTTTGAATGAATCGATCTAAGTTCTTTTAAAAGTGATCAATTATTAGCATGCTGTAAGTATAACAATGTTAGTGTTCTGTAGACTTCCATACTCCATTTTGCTAATATAAGGCTTGAACGTTACCTTAAAAAGTCACCTAAATCTATTCTCTCTATCCTGTATGGCAAATAAGAAGTCCATATCTTGCTAGCCCAACTGTTGTTGTTTGTACCAGGAGCCAGAATGGACACTGATTTAGATAGCCCTTGAGTTCTAGTTACTGTGTATACCCAAATCCAGGACTACTTTGAATTTAAGACAGCCCTCCCATAATTAGATTTGCTACATGGAAAATGTATACATTTGTTATAATTTTCCATGTAAAAAATCCAGTTAGTGGAAGGTCATCTTAAATTTATGCCCCTGCTGCTGTGGTGGGGAAAGCAGCACCAACGAGTCAGACCCTACCCCTTGCCCTCCCTGCTTAGACCCCCCTCCTTCCCCATGCTTATCCTCCCCTCTCACTTGTCTCCTGCCATGTTGCCCCCCTTCTGCTTGGCTTCCCTGCTGTTTAACCCCCACTCACTCTGCCCACCTCCCATACCCCTTGTCCCCCGCCCCATGCCTGTGCCTGATCTGTACCTCCTGTTGCTCTTCCCTGTGCCAGCCCCTAGCTCCCTGCACATCCTCTGCCACTTACCTTCTGCTTCTGTGTTCTGCTCTGTTCTGCCTACTAGGTCAGGGCGGCTAGGATCTGGAACCAACTTCCAAGAGAAGTGGTGCTGGCTCCTACCCTGGGGGTCTTTAAGAGGAGGCTAGATGTACACCTTGCTGGGGTTGTTTGCCCATAAGTACTGTTTCCTGCCATGGCAGGGGGTCAGATTCAATGATCTGCTCAGGTCCCTTCCGATCCTAGAAACTATGAAGCAGTGGCAGCAGTGGCCCCAGTCTGGCTTTGTCCTGTCTGGCCAGGCAGAAGTAGTAATGGTAGCTTTGGACCTGGCTGCATTGGGGCTGGAAGGGCCACAACTGGAGCAGAAGGTAAGGGGGGGAGGCATACTGAGAAGGCAGGCAGCGTAGGCTCCCCCCGGCTTCACATGCAGGTCTTCCCTGCACACCCAGCATCCCACTGTGCAATTTTCCCCAAATTCCGACAGTCGTGGGCTCTCTCCCCTGCTGCGTGAGCCACCCAAAACCAAGGCAGGCAGTGGCTCAGCTTTGCTTCAGCTCTGAGCCTGGGGCCAAAGTCAGAGCTGAGCCAGCTTGAACTTAAGACGAGGCTTTTTTTTCCCCCCTCATGTTGTTTGGGGGAAAATACCTTGTCTTGGCTTGGAGTAAATATGGTAATGTGTACAAAATCTTGAAGTTCCACCCCATTTCTAGAGACTTAGAGAGAAAGGAGAGCTTTCTCTCTGTCTCTCTCCTCTCTGTCTCATTTGAGCTTTTCCCTGGTGTTTTCTATGAAGGAAGAATTTCAGCTTTCAGCGTTGGTATGAGGAGAAAGAGAACAATATAATACCTTTTTTTTTTTTTTTTTGAAGGGCTCTTTTTCTGCTCTGAGGCAAGATCAGTTATTCCTCCTAAACAATCCCTGACACATTTGTCTAACTTGCGGGTGTCACACTTGCCTGTGCCCCCAGACTAGATCTGCACTGCAAGGAGCTCCTGGGCTGGATCTGGACCTGGTGGGATGAGCAGTTGTGCATGCCTCTGTTGCTTGTCCCCCTACCGCAGACATGTGTGCCAACTGGGGATCTGTAGCGGATAATTGAATGGCAGATCCGACCCCCAAATTCCCAGTTGTTCTGGGAGCCCCATGCTACGTAAAATGGCTCCACAAGCTGGAGACGGCCTGTAAGTCGTACCTTTGACACTCCTGGTTCACCTTGTTCTTAAGAAACTAATGGAGATGATTCCATAACCTCCATTTAATTTTGAAACAAAATTACTTTAACTGCAAGGAGGTAACAGTCTGGATGAAAATTGCTAGAAAACTTAGTCTTTACGTGTTAATTATGTGCTGTACGTATGGGGAAGATGCATTATTCTTCATACAAACCAGAAGTTGGTTGTTTAGGTTGAAGTGGAAATAGCTGAACCTAACCTTAACAGTTGCTACTGTAACTAAAGGCTCACTTAAACCAATTATTTGTTTTCTTTATTTTCTATTCCAAAGCACTCTTCAAAAGTAGTACTTTCTTTCATTTTTGTTGCCTTTTTAAGGGAAAATTCAAATTTAAAAATTGCATGTCTTTTTTAAGACTTTTTACCTACTGTTGGTATATGCAGTATCCAAGAATGCTATAAATAAAGAAGATAGGGGGATTTTTTCTTAATTGATTTGCATTGTACATTTGACATTTGACAACACTTTCATATAGCCATTTTCCCAAGATCTGCAGACTATTCACAGAGCAACAGAAGAACCATATGTGTACTTGTAAAACCACAGCTCAGTACAGGCAGGCACAGTCATTGAAACTAATTTTAACTGGCCTTTTTTTAAAAAAAAGAGTAGGTCATAAGTGGATCATTTCCTTTAGAAGTTTTATCATCTGGCAAATATGATTTCTAGACTTAAGTTCATCATATATTTAATGGTAAAAGATGAACGTGTGTATGAGTAGAGTTGAAGGCTTTTATCAAGTGGTATAAGAAAAGATTCTGTGTCTACGCAAAAAAAAGCAGTGGCTGTAAGCATCCATTTTGATGCACTTGTTGATGCTTTTTATCAGCTTGATACTAGATAACAAGTGGCCTCTGGCCAGGGGCATCCATATTTGGCCTGTCTCTAAAAGTACAGAGACATTCCTGGAAAATGAGCCTTGCAGTTTTCTGCTTGCTGAAAGAAATGGCACTTTTCTGGCAGGCTGAAAAATAAGATTCATAGGCATAAACAGTGATTAATCTCAGACTTTCTAGCATTCCATTCACTGCTGCATATTAATCAAAGGACTCATTTAAATCTTAAATTCAACATGCTGTTTTTGTCTGTTGGAGAATAGGAGAATTCAGTTATAGAGCCTGTCCCTGCTTTATCAGTCAAATGGATGCCTGATGTTAATGATAGCAGACTAGAGAGTCATTCTGAATATACTTGGAGCTCAGTCATAACGTTAATCACCAAAAAATAAATGCAAAAGGGAGTTTTGCTTCAGAAAATATTTTATGCATGTCTACTTGAAAAGATTTGCCTCACTTCTTTTTACCATTTTAACTTTTCAGCCTAAAGCTGCTTCAGCCAGGTCAAGAACCTCTGAAATACCAGGGGCCTAGAGACTTCCAGACGCTGGAAAACTGGATGCTGCAGAAACTAAATGAGGAACCAGTTGTAAGTAAACAGGAAATATTCCTGTGCTCCAGGCACAGACCGAATCTTTGCTCTCATAGGGGTTAGGATTTGCTTTTCAAAAATAACACCTTGGGAATAGAAACCCATTTGTAATAATAAAATGAAACTGTGTCCAAATAACCATCAAGACAGCAATTACAGTAATGTTGTCTGACTTACCTTTTGTTTCCTCTTCATAAAACCACGTCACAATGGCATTTCAACTGACATTTAAGATGAGATTTCCTGGTGCCTATTTAATTGACAAGTTTAGGTTACAGCATCTTAGCCTAGACTAGGAAAAGTGGTTTAGCTAATATAAAGTAGTTAAGACCAAAATGAAGACAACACCTTTAGTTCAGTTATAACTGGTCATGCTGTAGTCTAAACGGGGTGTTCAGAATATAACTTATTCAGCTAAGTTGAACAACAAGGTGTTACCTAGGAAAAGTGTCACATTTTTTAAGGGTAAGACTTAACTACCACATTGCCTAAACCTGGCCTAAACTTAATTATTTTTCCTGACGAAGACAGAGCCAAATAATTACTTACCTTAGTGAGTTGAAGCACAGTTCTGCTTAAACAAACTCTGTATTGTATTATTTTAAAAAAAATTACAGTAGTATAAGGGTAATGGTGTAGTTGGTCTAATAAAAGATATCACTATAAGAAATCCTTGCCTCTCTTTAAAAAATTAAACACCAAATCTAGAGGTGTTTTAGCCATGTATTTTGCGCTTTTTTTTCCCAACTTTTCAGTAGTTTCTACAAAATAGCTAGTTTCTTTCCTGCTAAGTGGACATGGGTTTGTGTTGCTACAGCTTAGTGATAAAATAGTTTTGGTTCTTTTCCAGATGTGTGGGAATGGGAGAGGTGTGTGGAGCCTTCAGTAGTTTTTATATTACATATAGCTAAAGACCTCCTAAGTTAGTGAGGTGGCACAGGTTTCTGTAAAATGGAAATAAAGTTATTATGTAATGTTATAAGCATGATATAAACTGCAGCGTGATCTAAGAATATTGAGAGGTAGTGATGTTATGAATGCTATTGGATTTACTGTTCAACAGTCTGAGAATGCTGTGATGTACTGTTTTTACAAACATTGTATAAGGTTATGGGCAAATTATTCTGTGTTGGGCTATGATTTTCCTGTATGAATGAATTGCTCCAGCTTGATATGGGGTGTGGAAAGAACAAACAGGAAGGCAACACAGTGACCCTTTAATAAGTAACCTTTGATCAAGTAACTTCTGATGCAGTGCCAGATGGGTGGCAATTATAAGAGATGGTATGCTTGCAGGTTCCAGGTTGAAGTGACGTAGCTGTTTTCCTAGGGTGGAAACTAGACATCAGATGAATGGTAAACAGACAGGGCCCACTCTACATGTTACAGGTACTGCATAATTAACTTATATCACAGTGATCCTCTGGCCTGAGGGGTTTCCCACACCCCTGGGGTGGAGGTATCACCTCTGCAGTGATCCTCCAGCCATGGGGTTTTCCTGTACCCCCAGGGCAAGGAGATCGCTTCAGTGGTGATCCTTTACTCCCGGGGTGTGTGGGGCACCCTTGCAGCTGGAAGCCCCTCAGTTGTGGTGCATGGGGCTCCCAGTTGCAGGAGCTTGCTGTGCACAGGGAACTTGGGATCGGGCTCCCCCTGCACCAGCAATAGTAAAAATGATGGGATCCACGTAGTCAACCAAAGACTGTGGAGCTGGTGTCATCGGGAAGGCTTTGGCTTC